GGGTTGTAGATCTTTTCAAGATCTACAACCCCATTTTTTTTAATTTTTTTTTTTGGGTTTTTTTGGCCCCCAAATCACCGTCGTACGGCCGCCGTCCATATGCCCGTACGGCCGTCCGTCCGTCCGTCCGTACGGGCCGTACGGAGACCCCCCGTACGACGTACGGGGGACGACACAGATTCGGCGATGCCCTCGTACCTCCTTTTCCCTCTCTCTCTCCTTCCCCTCCTCTTCCTCCTCCTTCTCCTCTCTCTCCCTGTGCCTTGCGTATTCAGCGCCGGTGAGAACCTCGCAATCAGCGTCTTTTCCACGTCCTTGAAATCGTTGATCATGCTTACAAGAGGTATAACCAGGTACCTATGCCATCCGAATACCTTCAACCACGCGTGCAGTTTAGGCGCATTGCCCACAGTCCCTTCCTTCGATTTCTTTACATGGTCGGCCCATCAGATGATAATCTTCCTAGACGTACACCCAATATAGTAGTGTGTGCACCACGGACTTGCTAAAACGTACACACCAGGATCATCTGTAGACATGTCCCTCTCCTCTGACACCACTAGGCTCACCCATTTTCTTGCCCACGGCCACCCGCCTCGCATAACATACAACAAAAACAACCGAAAAATCCTATCTTCTACTTGTGCGCTCACGGTGGTTTCTCCATTATCAATCCGCTCACCCCTCTCTCTCATACCTTCACGTAAGTCTTCGAGAATCTCCATATCCTCTCTCAGGTCTACTTCTCAAAGATGGGAGAGATCTTACCGCTTTCAACAAATTCTTCATATGCTAATTTCACCTTACATCTCACCAGCTCTCCGATCGCATTGTCCTTCCTTGACCATTCGATGCCCTCTTGGTTGCATAGCTTCCTCAACTTCCCAACCTTCTTCTCGGATAGCTTCCGGTGTAGCTCAATCGCGAAGTCAAGCATCTCGGTCCCCCCCCCCACCCCTTCGACTTCTTTTTTATCGGCGGTGGAGTCCTCACCTCTTCTTCGTCTTCAATCCTCACCGGGTTTCCCTGATACCCTCTCTTTACGTTCTTAGATACCCTTCCTTCCTCTTCCCTCTTCTTCTTACTCTTCCTCCTCTCGATTGCTTCGATCAGCTTCCCAGCCTCCTCCTTCACTTCCTCGCTATCGTCGTCTGATTCCACCGGGTAACTTCTTATCTCACGTAACATCTGTGCCTTTGATTTCAGAGACTTCTTCATCCCCACTCCTTCCTCGGTCTTGCTTGACCTTGTATGCTGAGTCAGCAGGCGTATCATCCTTGCTTCCAACTTTGCTTCCCTTGCTTCAGCTTCCTTCATTCTTTCAATACTCTCTCTCTGGCGCGCACCCGTTTCCATACTCCGTTTCAATATGGGAATGGATCTGCCCACGAAAGCGGGAAGATTCCTTCCCGTTTTCGTTTTTCGAAGAGAGAGAGAGAGAGAGAGAGAGAGAGAGAGAGAGAGAGAGAGAGAGAGAGAGAGAGAGAGAGAGAGAGAAGAGATGGGGAAGTAAACAGATGACACTCGCCGAACACATCCAGTATCTCAACCACGCCCACTCAAAAACTTAAGATCATAAAAAAACACAGTACGCTTCGCCCCTACGCGTTTCGTTGTTGGCGTACACAGCAGTCTCGTCAGGGGGCTCTTCCCACCACCTCACGGAACCTTCGAAATTGAGTTGTCCATCTACTGCCGGACTTCCTATTTATCCCCAGGAGCTCCTACGTATTGTGTCTCGTCCCTCTACTTACCTCCCAACGCCTCCTGCTTCTCTTCCTACTTATCCTATCAACCGATCCCCGAATCGTAAATTGCTTGATTATTGTACACGTATGTAGACCTTCTTCCTTCTTCATCCCTACTTCCGGCGTCCCAAATCTTCCCGCAATCTTTTCCCTCTCTCCTTTCCCGCTTCATCCACCCATACCCGTTGCTCGAATCGTTCCTGTACCCTCTACCCAAAAAGCCCTTCCTCCGCTCAGGTCCTCCCATCGTTTCTTTCTGTCTCCATCGCTTGGGTTTGTCCCAATCGACGTGCCTCTGTGTTTCACTGGCGGACGGGAGTTTCGATTTTCATCTTTTYCGTTGATTATCCTATAAATACTCCGTGTCAGACTTCGCAAAAAACTGCCCTTCGTACTACTTACTAAGTTTCATGTTTCASAGAAGACTGCTGGATATATCTTGGTCRGATCCTTTTTCCTACCGCCACGAAAACCCRRAAAAACGAGATCTGCTAAATGGAAAAAMTAAAAAATAAAAAACGCTACGGAAGAAAAAAAGGAAAATTAAACAGAAAAAGAGAGAAYKCACAGTTGTTCGTTTCACCTRGCCAGACCCCGATTACAGTACTGCTTAAAAACCGACACTCATTGGAAGGCTACTATCACCCTCGGGCGGCTATCATTTCACATTCCCCGATTCATAAACTTCGCGAGTCCAGGGTATTCAGTGGGGAGGTAAACCCCCCACACAATGCCAGACAACCTAGCAAACTTAGCTAGGGCACCTAGAGAGACCTCCGGGGGGTATCCCCGGAGGCGTGTCTCCATAATTAGTGCTGCTATAGCCGCTTTCAATGCTTCGTCCAAGTTTGAGAGTCGATGTAGTCTCACAAGAGTAGCAAAAATTGACGCCTTTTTCGTAGACTTCTTTGAAAAAGACGCGTAGTCCTGCATGGATTGCACTCTCAGACTGCCCTCCCTCATGACATTCTGCTGATTGCGTGTCCTCGGGTGCATCATTATCCTCACCGGATCCATAAGTACGTAAATCATTGTGCCCACAAAGTCAAAGGCATTGTTTCCCTCATCCTTCCTGACTAGTGTCAGGTTCTGGTCGTAGCACGCTTCGAATGTTTCCATCACTTCATAGGCAGCCTGGGTGGACACCTTGTTCTCGCGTCGGAATGCTACAAATATTGTCACGTCGTCAATCATCCATACGCCCCTTACTCGTGCGCCGATCGATCCAACAGATCTCATAAATGCTGCTTCAGCCTTGGCACAAACCAGGCAGGCAAGTGCAGGGCTGTAATTCCTCCCCATGGGAATTCCAAATTCCTGCTTCAGCAAATTCCCGACACTCTTCACATACGTATTTCTCAATTCGAATTCAATTATCGAACGAATATCCTCGAAAGAAAGGTTGATCCACCCCTCGTTCCTTCGTTCCTTCTTTATCATCGTGCAGATCTTTCCCCTTTGGCTCACCCTCACTCCCTTAAACCCTCTCTGAACGCACTAATGGATAATCCAGTCCACTGCTTCTAATACGCAGAGGTGAGATAACCTCGCAAACATATCCTTAATATCGAAACTCCTCGCTAGTGCTCCATCAGATGTGCTCTCTAACTCCTTCTCAATTTCTCCCAGCCTCTCCTTTAGTTCATCGGTAGACTTCAGGTCGAAATGCGCTCTCCTGCTCATCCCAAAAAACATGTACCTTATTGCTCTTCCTGCTCTTGCTCCAGCCAACCTCGCCGGATCCTCAGTAGCAGGTGATATTGGTCTCCACCGCTCAAGATCCTTGTCCTTGGGCAACACGTATGCCTGTCCGACTCTTCCACCTGTCTGTCACCTCGCCACTCTTTGCAGTCCCCTCCGATCGAATTCCTCCTTCATCTCCCTCATAACCAGGTTCTCCCCTTTGTCCATTCGTACGAAACTGGCGTTGTGATTAAAGGTATTCCTACACGCCTCATTATACAGCTACGGACATATCAACAAAGTTGCGCCCGGGTTCCTGTCAATAGGAACTGCAACCAGCACTTCATACGGCTTCACCCAGTCCATGACTTCTCTTACCGACATTGCTGCTGAATGCTCAGGCTGTCTAACTTGGTAGCACTTGCGCACCTCCGATCGATCGATCAGGACCTGTCTTCCTTTCGTCCACAGCCCTACTCCCTCCATGATACATTCCCATAACATCTCTTCTGGAATCACGTATCCACTAGTCACGTTCCTAGAATTTGTGATAAATCTAGGAACACCATAAATCCGATCTAACCTTATTTTCACATGCTCTTCGATCTTCGGTAGGTCCACGTCACCACATCTGCACTGAGCTTGATCCATCTTGGCAAACGTCCGGTGGTTGTGAATGATACTACCAATCGTCCTCCTCTTCTTGGTTACTGCTCTCACCTTCGTTACTACGAACCGTCGAATGCACCGATCGGAAATCGTCTGCTCGATGATACTTGCTGCAACTCTCATAACCTCACCCATCCGAATCGACGGCGAGAACGGTACCTTGACACACGGTCGTCTCCTCACTTCGGCACCATACTTCGTCTTCACCACCTTGGTGATGGTGGTCTTAAGCCGATTCCACACCTTCTTATCCGCGAACAGGGAGCACGTCCGATACATTGCAATCAGTTCTTGTGAACTCTTCTTGTACATGCCCCGAACTTTGTCCGGGTTCCTCCTTAGCTCCCTTAGGATATTCCGACGGTGCTCCAGGCTTGCAGGTACAATCCATATATCGATCAGCGGGAACTCCCCCCCTCCCTCCAATATTCCTTTACAGTCTTTAATTAGAATCGCCCTTCCCCCAACACTCACCGAACTCTGTCCGATCTTTCCTTTCACTACTCTCCATATATCGATCCACATGTTACCACCCGTACTTGTGATGCGATGATCACCCTGAGTTCTACTCATCTCTTTCACTAAGTCAATGATCGATTCCCTTCCGTGAAACCGGATAATCGACCCTCCCATGTGCTCGTACTTCCTCTTCCCTCCCTCCCTCCTTCCCTTCCTTCTCCTTACTCTCCCTTCTTCCTTCCTGGTTCCTTGAGTATTCAGTGCGGGCGAGAACCGCCTAATAAGAGCTCTTTCAACCTTCATCGGATCTTGCGTGTTGCTAACCAGGGGCAGGACAAGATAATTGCGCCATCCAAATATCCTTAGCCATGCATGCAGTTTAGGAGCGTTCTCCAAGCTCCCACTTACCGCCTTCTTCACATGATCTGTCCACCTCACAATCACTTTCCGTGACGTGCAGCCGATGTAGAAGTGTCGGCACCACGGACTCACCAACACGTACACACCTGAGTCTTCAGTCGATACATCTCGATCTTTCCCTCCCATCATCGTTATCCATTTTTTTGCCCATGGGCATCCTCCGCTGATCACGTATAGTACAAACAGCCTGAATATCCTGTCTTCTACCGTGCTACTCAGATTGGCTTCCCCCCTATCAACCTTGTCCCCTCTCTCATTCATCATCCACCGCATTTCACGTCGTATATCCATCCTTGGTTCGATTTTTCAAAAATGGCGGAGATCTTACCGTTTTCAATAAACTCCTCATATGCCAACCTCGCTCTGCAATGCACTAGTTCTCCGATAGCATGGTCTTTTTTGGACCATTCGATCCCCTCCTGATTGCAAAGCTTCCTCAGCTCGGGAACCTTCTTCTCGGACAACCGTCTGTGTAGTTCAATGGCGAAGTCAAGCATCTCCGTGCTTCCACCCTCATCGTCCGCTCCTCTCCTCATAAAGGAGGTGTTCTCACTTCGTCTTCATCCACGATCTTTACTGGATTACCGTAGTGTCCTTTCCTCAGATTCTTTGAAGACTTTCCCTCGTCCTCCTCCTTCTTTCCCTTCCTTCTCTCGATGGCATCGATCAGTTTCTCTGCTTCTGCCTTAACCTCCTCACTGTCATCATCGGATTCGATCAGATAGCTCCTTATTTCTCGCAGCATGCGTGCTTTCGTCTTCGGCGATTTTTTCTTCACTACCGCTTCCTCCGCTCTATTACTCGATTTCGCATGCTGGGTGAGTAAACGCACCATCCGCGCTTCCATCTTGGCTTCCTTAGCTTCTGCTTCCTTAATTCTTTCTAGCTCTCTCCTGTTTTCTTCGTCTCTCCTCCTTCTCTCCTCTTCTTCTCTCTCCCTCCTTTCTTCCTCCATCTTTGGCTTCCTAATCTTCTCACGGAAATATTCCTTCATTTCCTTGGTCTCTTCGTCCATAACTCCGTTTGATTGGGTCTGGAATGGTATCGGAGGCCTACCGTTCCCCGCTGCCCAACGGTTGCGCGCGTAGTGTCAAAGTTTCCCACAAATATAGCAGGAGATCGCTCCCTGTTGAGACCCGCCCATTGGCGCTCCGTTGCCATAGCCATGTATTTGTGGTGCGCCTTGATTATGTGGATGCGCCATACTACCTCCTTCTCCTCAAACTCCTCCTCTTTCTCCTTCTCTGATCTCTTACCATGCACCCAAGGCTATATAATCTTCCCAGGAATTTTTTTAATTCTTCAAAAAGTTCTTCCTTAGATGCTTCGTCGTTAAAGTGTAGTGCTACGAACAGGTATGGTACTAAGCTATCATATACTATCCTCTCAATATCTAGCCATAAACGATGAAATTCGTCCTCCCTAAAGTTACGATCCGTCATATTTCTCCCCGCATTTCTACTGGTGGTAAAGACACTAACTACAGAGCTCCAACTCCCCCGTTCCACCCGACTTTGTTCAAACGAAGATTACGACCACCACCCGCAGACCAGCATTTCTCTGTTCTTTTGTATCACTGTGACTCCGATCTCCCAAGTGTACTTGTTGGATATCCAGCGTACGTAGGGGATGATCACACCCCTGCTTATCGTACCCAAGTCTCTCGGATCTCTTCTCCAACGCAGTGTACTCGCTTGATATAGCTCCGCGGAAGACGTTCACACTTTCGCTCACAATACAACTCCGGCTTGGGGACGATCAAGCCGCGCAGACCAAGCTCCAATCGACCATCGTAGCCACCGCTTGATGTCAAGCAAAAATGGTTACCACGTTCCTCGAGATAAGAGATGGAGAAGTAAACAGATGACACTCGCCGAACACATCCAGTATCTCAACCACGCCCACTCAAAAACTTAAGATCATAAAAAAACACAGTACGCTTCGCCCCTACGCGTTTCGCTGCTTGCGTACCCAGCAGTCTCGTCAAGGGGCTCTTCCCACCACCTCACGGAACCTTCGAAGTTGAGTTGTCCATCTACTGTCGGACTTCCTATTTATCCCCAGGAGCTCCTACGTATAGTGTCTCGTCCCTCTACTTACCTCCCAACGCCTCCTGCTTCTCTTCCTATCAACCGATCCCCGAATCCTAAATTGCTTGATTATTGTACATGTATGTAGACCTTCTTCCTTCTTCATCCCTACTTCCGGCGCCCCAGATCTTCCCGCAGTCTTTTCCCTCTCTCCTTTCCCGCTTCATCCACGCATAACCGTTGCTCGGATCGTTCTTGTACCCTCTACCCAAAAAGCCCTTCCTCCGCTCAGGTCCTCCCATCGTTTCTTTCTGTCTCCATCGCTTGGGTTTGTCCCAATCGACGTGCCTCTGTGTTTCACTGGCGGACGGGAGTTTCGATTTTCATCTTTTTCGTTGATTATCCTATAAATACTCCGTGTCAGACTTCGCAAAAAACTGCCCTTCGTACTACTTACTAAGTTTCATGTTTCAGAGAAGACTGCTGGATATATCTTGGTCGGATCCTTTTTCCTACCGCCACGAAAACCCAAAAAAACGAGATCTGCTAAATGGAAAAACTAAAAAATAAAAAACGCTACGGAAGAAAAAAAGGAAAATTAAACAGAAAAAGAGAGAATGCACAGTTGTTCGTTTCACCTGGCCAGACCCCGATTACAGTACTGCTTAAAAACCGACACTCATTGGAAGGCTACTATCACCCTCGGGCGGCTATCATTTCACATTCCCCGATTCAT